ATCAATATTAACTAAATATAGCTACAGTAAAATAGAGAAGCATTTGTTTGTTTTTACAGGACATTATTCTGTGTGTTACATCAAAGATTTCCTTTCAAGTTCACCTGATTTGAAAGGTAGTTTCTCCTGACTGTGCAAGTTAGCAGAGCAAGTGTCTGTATTTTATCAAATTCAGCTGCACCTTTCTTGCTGAAGGATGATTAAAAGCCAATGGATCTATTTTTGTGAGTCATTGCAGTCCATTCTGCTGCTGTTCAGTTGAAGGAAGCTATTTTTGTAATTTTACTATTTTGTAGCAAATGTACCAATTTAGTTAGTAGTGAAAAAGTTCCAGACATCTGTGATGAAGGTCGATAAATCCAGAAGAAATCTGTTCCTCTGCTAAAGGGAGTGAACTGGCCTGTTTGACACTTGCACTGAGTTCTGAACTAGTATTGCAAAAACCAAAAGCTCTGCTTTGAAGCAACAGAAGGACAAAGACTGTCTTTTGCATATGCTGAGGAATTTGCATGTAAATTATTTTGTTTTGCATTAATCAACCTGTCATATTTATTATGAGACAGATCTTGAGATGAGTCTCAAAATATAAGTCTGAGGGTTTTAGCAAGTTCAAAGAAAAAAACCCAGGGCCACACTGAAAAATGTCTGAGAACCCTTCTGGCTGCTTGAGGGATGTGAAATTTTTTATTTATTAAAAATTATAGGAAATCTGCGTCTCCTCAAATTTAACTATGTTGACCATTAGAGCAAAACCTAATCAACATCCTCATGGCTGTTATTCTGTCTCCCTTGTAGGCTGAACAACCATGCCCCTTCCCAAAAGAAGGACACCAGTTACATCACAGTTTTCAAGCTCAAGAGCAAGCAGCTTGTTAACATTGTATTTATCAAATAAGAAACCTTCCTTCTAGAGTTGTTAAAAGACTGGAGAACAGAGATGAAAATGTGTGGATGGGTTCATCATTTGAGATGATGTGATCTACAGTGCTTCAGAGGTCCCAGTGACTGAAAATAGCTGTGCCCTCTGATTCTCTCTTCATCCAGTAGGTTAGAGTCATATCAGGACTTCCACAGGTAAGGGAATACAGCTTGGAAGATTGTCCCAAGGATGGTGATAACTGGGCCCTGCTGAGATGGTGGCCTTGCTCTCAGATGGGCTCGCTCAGGGCGCAGAGGAGGGGTGGCAGCCTGGGGCACACCAGCAGCACTGGATGGCAGTGTTACACAAGTTCAAACAGCTTCTTTTAGGTTTAGGAATAAAGGCAAAAAGCATGCCATGCCTGTGACTGGAAATATATGGGATTTGGAGGGGGCATCTTTAAGTCGTATTGGGATGTACTTGACCAGATTCCCTTCATTTCCTTCTCCTATCCTGTCTCTGTTCTTTGGAGCTACTTTCCCATGCGTTCTTTTCTCTCAGTTCTAATTTTTTTATAGTGTGTATTGAGGTGTTTACTGTGCCTCTTCTGAGCTGGCCAGGTACTGAAAAGGTCACAGATAAACAGCAAAGATTTGCTAATGCAAAAGCAATATATAAAACCCAAGAATCATAAACCCAGCAAAAAACAATGTCTTTTCCTCCTTCCAGTTCTTTATCTTTAGGTTGAAATAACCAGGAGGGGCAGAGTGCCTTGACATTAGCCCAGTAAATGTGCATTTAACATTAAGCATGATAGAACCAAATATACTGCAGGGAAAAAATTGAATTTGTGTGGCTGACAGTTTACTCCTGTTATGGATTTTGCCTGTCACCACTAGTAGCTTAGGGTAGTGATTCCAGGGATGACACTAACACAGAGCAGTGTACATGTAATCCCAGTACTGACATGTGTACCAGCCCTGTCCCTCCAGAGATGTGTGGAATATTCCTCTGGCAGGGAGATGGTAAGGCAGTAAAAACCGCTGAATAGGTATTGATGTGGTTTTGTTCCACCTGCTTGGATCCTGAGCTGGGATTTTTCCTCTGCTTTTCATCTCATTTATCAGTGTAATACCTGAGTCACCCTTTCATACAGCAAATATAATTACAGTGCAGTTACACTCTGTGACTCTGTTTCATGATACCTATAATTACTGTTCATTCATGTAGCTAGGAGGTTAGTTAATTCAGTGGACATATTACTTATCAGTCTGCTTTCTGAGTTACTGTCTCACATTTTAATTGCAATTGTACTTTTTGTACATACATCTGAGGGTTCACCGTGTGACAGTCATTTGTATGAGGTTAAACTTCTGGTTGAATTCAGCCTGTTTACAGCTACATGGGGGGTTTTTGTGTGGCAGTAGTAGGTGCCACACAAAAATTAGATCAACATCCAAACTTGTTAGGCACACTTATCAGTCCTACATGAAATCCATGCACTGCTGAAACATGAGTGGTATGAAGAATTTAAGAAGGGCAATGGAGTTGATTCTTAGTTTTATGACCCTCCTTGTCTTATGTGCGCTGCTGTTGAGGTGATCCAGAGGTACCTACATTCAAATGATTAGCAAGGATCATGACATATGGCAAATCCTTGGAACTGGGAGAAAAGCCATGAAGAAGCATTGCTGTTCTTATTCCTGCCCATTTCATACAGCCCAGGTATTCTTCTGAGTATTCTTTTGCTGGATTCAGCAGGTCTTGACTTCCACTCATGGAATATGGCTTTGCATTTGAAGTGGAGAGATTCGTTTGATGATATTTTTTTTTTTAATTGAAAAAGGCTTGCCCACTTCAGTAGCTTATGAGATCATTCACACTTCAAAGGCTCCCCAGGCTGGACTCTTGCAGCCATTTGATGTTAGAAGGTGGCAGGAGGCAGCTAGCTTCCTGCATCCTTCCTTCCCCTCTTCTCCTGACTTTGTTCTTTATCCTCAGATAAAGTTGCTGACAGAACCAACAGCAGCATCTCAGACAGCAGAGATGATCTGCAATACATTGATGAAGAGCTTCCTCAGCCAGCCTGGAGCCACTGCAGTATGGCCGTACCAATGAGCCTCTTCCTTTATGCTTTTCCTCTGCTTCACTACTTCCCCCAGGCCAGGACTTCCTCCCAAAGGACTGTTTACCTCACTCCCCCTCCCTTGCTGCTGTGGTTTTTCTCCCCTTAACCTCTGCTCCTCTTTTCTTCCCTCAGCTCCCTGAGCTGGGTGTCCAGCACAGATCAGAGGGAAGGGGTGGCTGTGCACTTCTCCTGGACAGCTGGCATGGAAGCCTTTAGAAGTTGGTTGCATCTATTCTGTTTCAGACCCCCCAATTCCTTTTCTCTTGGATGCCTGTAAATTTTTCAGGCAAAGTATTTTTCTCCTGGGGAATTAGATTTCAAGCCCAGAGACAAACTGACTCTGCACAATGTAGGAAATTGTCAATTGGTTTTTATTTTTTTGCATCTGTGACTGCAGGATTTTCAGAGGATCAGTCTTGGAGCACAGAGGCAGTCACATCTTTTTAAAAGCATTGGGAACTCATTCCCTAAATCCCTCAGGGCTCCAGGACCCTGTCTGAAACTTTGGGATGGCAGGTGCTGTGAAAGGACAGGGGGATCGTGAATCACTCCGGCTTGTCATGCCTAGAGACTTGGTCTTAAGTCTTGACTTTCCACTTCAAGAGTACCAGCTGCTTTCTGGGAGGTTGCCCTGGGGGGAAGGGAGGACGAAGGGGCCAGTGATGGGAGCTGTGCCTTAACTAGTTTGTAAATTATCTTTGTACATGCATGAGAATTAAGATAAATATGTCTCTTATAAAAAGCTGTTTGTGTGCTTTTGCTGTTTATATGTATCTAGAAGGAAATTGCAGGCTACTTCCTGCCAAGTATATCCCCAGAAATATTTTTTGAAACTGTCATCCATATGCATTGAAGGCTATTTAATCTCTCTCCCACTTTCTTTCTCTCTCCAAGCCTCCATCTTTCACTCTCTGGCCCAGTTTTTTAGCAGAAGGAGTTTGGCTGTTTATCGCAGTGTAAAGACTTAGTATATTCCTATACTGATCCCATTTTGTGTCACCACTGGCCCACTTGACCTAGGGATCTCTGACATTGTTTGACAGGTGGATTTTTGTAATGGCTATGCTTATTCTATAGCCATCATCATGAATAAGGTCAGAACTTTATTCATTATTTGCATTCAAAAGATATGGGGAAGCACAGAAAGAAACCTAGCGAGGAATATGTAAGGAAATTGAGTCAGTACCAATCCCTTACATCCATGTGCTGCAGCTTGTAGGGCCTCTGTTCATTAAAGTAAAGGTGGTACCTTGGAAAGCAAGCACAGCCCTCTTCAATAAGCTCCAATCAGTCAGTTATATCCCATAAAATCACAGCTTAGAGCATATTAATTATATTTTAATGTAATGAAAACACAAAGTGTGATTCTAAACTGGAAGCAAGCATAGATCAATTAATTGCAAAGGTAGTATATGGAAACAGAGCACCTGGCCTGCAGTGTTGGTATTGTGAAATGTTACCAGGAAATCTTAACAGAAAAAGAAATATTAGAAGTAGAGTTTTTTATGATGTCACACATTGTGCATTGTGACTTCAGTTTAAGAAAAAAATGAAAGGGAGCTCTATGCACACTCTTCCTTGCACATTTCCATCTCTTATTTGTGATAGATGCTCTAACATCTATTGATTTTTTTTTCTATTTGTCTGTGATTCAGTGCTTCAGTTGTTACTATTAGTAACTTGGATTTCTGGAGACCACAGAATCCCCAAACACAGAGCAAGAACTGCTGTGCTTTATGCTGTCTATGACATATAAATTGTGCAGTGTACAGTTAAAAGCACAATCCAGCTCTACTTTGGAATCATGGGGACTTTTCTGTGGAATAAAATGGATATACCAAGTCAGTCTGAATGAGATGAAAACTACTTAGAGAAGAGAGAGGCGTAGACATTCCTACTTCTAATTGTTCTATTTTTAATATTTCATCAAAATTAATTTCTTATTCCATCTGAATTAATTTTTCCATATTTTGTTAATTCTTTATTAAATTGCAATTAATATATTGGCAATTTCTGAATTTCTAGGTGAAGCTAATAGCTGTGAATCTTGGATTCATAATTGGTTACGATGCACAGAGACAAAAAACTTAATGGAACTGATTAATTTTCTCCCAAGAGTAGATATATAATATTATGTTATGAAGGGCTTTAGCTATTAAAACCAAGTTAAAAGAAAATACAGGACTGTTTAAATTATCAGCTTTTAGCAAAGATGACCAAAATCACTGGGGTTCCACACAGCACCAAGGTCACCTTGCATAAGTTGGACATTTAAACAGTTGCTCAGCACATTCCCCATACAAAACTCTATCACCAGGCTAAGGGGATTTTGGTCAAAGACACTTACCTACCTTTTTCTCTACAGTTCCAGTTTTGGAGAGATGTTATCTTCAGTATTGTTGTTATTCAATATTGTGCCTGTTAGAGCAGTTTTTAGGACTATTGTTAAGTATTTATGAGTGCTTGCATCATGATTTTTGCAAGCCTCGAATAGGACAAGAGAGTAGCCAGAGTACCTGCATGTATCAGGGACTGTATCAGCATTGCAGGGACTGGGTTTGGAGAGGTGTGGCACTAGGTGTACCTGCTGTGCCTGGGAAGGGCCCAGTTTCACAGGGCCAAGGCACTGTGAGCACAATGAGACCCTGCATCTCTGACCAGTAGCAAAAGCTGAGAGCAAAGACTTTTCCCTGGAGCAGGGAGGTTTACATCTTTGCACAAATCAAAATTAGTAGTAATCAGCCATAACAATTGTCTGTACTTGTGTCATCCTTTCTTGAATGAAAATCAAACAAACACACTTCTCAAGCCACTTCTCTGGTGCTTGCATTTGAAGTAAATTAACAAACTTCTGTTTCTTGTTGGGGTCAATGAGCCTTTCATTTGGGCAAGGTGGTATGTATGAGGACAGTCATCAGCTTGTATTTCCTCACCCAGCTTGTATTTCCCAGCCCATGCTTCTTCAGCTGAATGCCACAGTGGGATCTCACCTGCTGCTTTGCTGCTGCATTGCATTTGGGCCAATAAGTCTGTTCTCTCCTTGGACCAGAGCTAGATTAAGATGCTCCCTTTTAAATCAGAGCATCTTGTAATATTCCTAGTTGCCTATCTTTTTATTTCTTGCTCTGTTTTAAAGTGCATTCTTGCACTTCAAGAAGATGGAGATATATTCTGGATGAATGATGTCTGTGAGATAAGAATACAGCCATTTCTAATCCATAGTTTACTATGACAATGTACTCTTGACACATCTTCTTCAGTAAGCAGAAAAGCAATTTTATTTTGTTTCAGTTCAACGTTTTGCAAAATATCAAAGCAGCATTGAATCAGAGCAAGAGTAAGGCTGATGGCAGACTCAGCCTGCCTTCTGCATGGGTATAAGGTGAGACAGATTTTGCAAGCTCCGGTAAGAACTGGAACGTTAGGAAATGATTCTCTGAACTTTTTGGTTCTACTGCTCTCCCTGAGAACCTATTTTTTGATATGTTTTCCAAGACTGATCAGAACAGAATACATGTGTTTTCCAGTTTTTATCTTCTCTAGAAGAGTGGTAAGAAAGACAGAGACATAATCTCTGATACCTGCTATGTTTAATCAATCCCCAAATAAATTCAAAGAAAAGATAACTAGTTTGTCCCAAGAAGTAATAAAGCATGTTAGAAAATTAATTTTTTCTAATGGTTTTATATTTACCCTTTTTGGATGGGATTCAGGGGCCCTGAGGGGATAAGAGGAATAGGGTTTTCTTCTCCCCAGCTACTTGAAGTACTAAAGAAATAATCCCACCCATTGTGAAAGAAAAGCACAAAAAAGTTCATTTGAAAATTTATTTCTTCACAAATCTAGCACAGTATGAGACACTGAAGTTTTATTCTAAGATATGCCTCTCTGTGACATTACAAATTAGAATGCTCAACTTACCATAGCAAGGAGAGAAAACTTATTTTCCTGTTGATATAGCAAGAAGGGAAATAGTTTCAGAAATAGTTAACGGCAGCTTTTCTGGGAGCAGTTGCATTTATTTGTCCTCAAAATGGTTAGTGGGGAGGATGAAAGTGTGTTTCTGCCATTAGCAATGATTTAACCCCCTTCTCTTTAGACACAAGGAGTCTCATGCTGATTTACAGTATTCAGGCTACAGAGATTTGGTTCCAGAAGTGGAGGGCTCATACCAACACCCAAAATCTTGCTTCTTGGCAGGTGGAGCTGCTGATATTCTCCATTAGGTCAGGCAATGTGGGGAGTTTGCCAGTCTCTGCAAGGTAAGTGCAATTTTGGCCACTGCCCCAGGGCTGTGGCATCTCTGGAGGAGCTGCAGCACAGCAAGGAGGGGATGTGGTTCTGCTTCTCCTCGCTTTGAAGTCCCTTTTTCTTGTGGCCCCATCTTAGCTGCACCCAGGCTTCTCCCTATATCTGGTAGAGAAAACTCCCTCTAGGGCTGGGAAGCCAGGGATTGGGAACCAGAAAGAAAATCACATTCTGAAATATTTTTTTTTAATATTAATGAGCAGAAAACACAGCCACTGCCTCTGGGAGGGCAAAGAATACAGCTGCCACTGGAAAAATACCTCGTCTTCTCCCAGCATGCAGCCCTCAGATCTGGCTACCCATCAAAATATATCCACGAAACATAGAATGCCTTCAAAACGAGTAATAAGAACAATTTGGAGAATGACAAGATTTCCCTATGAAAATAGATAGAGGAGATGAAGTCTGTGTATTTCACTGAGAAGATGAGTTACAGTGTATATGGTCTGCAAGATGCCAAATAATAGAGAGGAATTTCCTGTGAGTCCTGTGGAAGCTTCCTGAGTGCAGTAATAGGAGAGGTTTCTGAAACAACAGGGAGGACAACAAATGAGAAAATAAAGAGAGAAGAGGATACTTTTATCTATACCATAAGTAACCTGTCTTCAGGAGGTTTGTGGAGTTCAATCCCAGCAATCACTAACAAAGCTCCAGTTGCTTTCCTTGAGGCATTTAACTGCATGACCACAACTGATGTTGTGACCTGTAAGATTGTGTTATGTTACATCCTCTTTGAAAACTCTGAAAATGATTAAACAGTGTGTTGTGTCATTTGAAGATTGCTTAAAAAATTTCCCTTCTTTTGCTATTCAGAGGAAGCCCTGAGTTGGAGAGGCTTCAGATACAAATTCCACTTAATTGTGACTACATATAGGAGGTTTGGTGTCTTGCTAATTATCTATTTCTAGCTTTTTGGGAGTGCTTTAGTGAACAACTCTCTGCTACATGAGACGAAGATCAGTTTGGCAGATGCTGCCTCTGGTCCTCCTCACCTTTCTACAGAGGATGACTGATGCTCTGCAAGGGAGGATCTTCATCTCTAGCACTTTGACATCTTGAGATAAATATAGAATATATTACCTTGCTTCTATCATTAGAAGGAGAATATGCTGTTAAGGATTTAGTTTATGCTCTGGAAGGAGAAATGATTTCACTTTATCTCTCTATGTTCTGGTCTTGCCCATGCTGTATTATTTGTACCTAGAGCTTCAAAAACTTCACAGACTGAGTTACCACAATTGTCATAGGACCTGGATATGGTATTCATCTATCCAGCTTGAGGCAGAAAAGGCAGCTATGCAAACTAAATTTGAGCTTGTATGTAAGGGAGAAATGGAGAGCCTGTGCAATGACAGGCTGTAAGCAGTAGGGAGTGAGAACTGTGTGTGTTTGATAAAAAAGGCTTGCTAATAACAGTGCCTACTCCCAGCCAGTCACAGATTCACAACTAGTGGAGTTTACAAATGCTCTAGGTCTGGTTGAGGTAAAGGAGAGCTTGCACCATCCTAATACTGGAATATTCCAGTTTATTGAGACAATAACAAAGAGGGTTCTGGACTGCTGAATGCACTAACTAGAGGGCATTAATAAATAGAGCAAAAGCACTACCTAGAGTGTCCTAATACATATATATATATATGTGTGTCTATATATATATATATAGAGTAAATTCTCTAACTAGAGTGTGTTAAATATATATAGTAAAAGCACTACCTAAAGGGTCCCAATATATAAAGTAGATTCAATAACTGGAGGGTATTAGTAAGTATAGCAAATGCACTAATTCCAGGGTACTGATATATACTGTAAATGCACTAACTACAGGAGGTTCATATATACAGGGTGTGTCAAGAGGCCCCAGAAGCACAGCTCTGTGCACCAGGATCTCTTTCAACAGCCGTGGAGCGGCAATTGTTTGAGCCGCTGCAGCAGGCGAACGTACTCTGCAGAGCCTTGGTGTGGGCATCCGGCCTGCTGGCCAGGTGCTGGAAGAGGTTGGGCGGTTGAGCCACCTGGAAGTCGGAGGGTAAACTGATCTCCTCAGGAATCTCTTGTTGCCCGTTGCGGAGTGGTTGTTTTGTGTCCAGAGAGCAGTGGAGGTACTTCAGGATATCCATCAGTCGCTGCCGGAAATCCCTCCTGCGCCACCGAGACAGGGGGTAGAGTGTTCAGCAGGTGCATCACCATGGTCTTCAGGGCATAGCTGGAAAAATCTCCACCCATCAGGATGCTGCTGGAGGTTCTGCAGGAACTTGCAGTGCCAGCTGGAGGGCCTGTCTGGAAACGTGCTGGAAAAATTTTGCCTCTGCCACGGCATAAGTCTCAAGCCATATTGTGCTTGGGATGTCTACTTCTGCAGGCTGGCTGCTCACAAAGATATCTGAGTCTCCTTGCTGCACTCCAAAGATCACCTCAGCTGCAAAGATTTCCTTGTCTTTCTTCAGGAGAAATTTGCAGGAGCGGCTGCAGGGCTGAAGCACTAAACGCCAGTGGAGAGACTGAGGTAAAAGCATCCAGGCTATTCTCATGAATCGACAGAACCAGTGGACAGTTTTCTCCACATCTAGATAGGAGCCAGTGCAGAGGGTGTGCAGGAGGCTGGGGTCCTGTTTCCTTTTCAGCTCCTCCTCAGGGTGGTGGAGGAAACATAGCATGTCCTCCCCCAGCCTCTCCCTCGTGCAGGTGCACAGCTGCTCCACACGGACACAGAACTTCCTCTGGAGCATCCCCGCAGTGTCCAGCTCCAGGTGGAAGGCGTGTCCTGGAGGGGGACTCAGGGGTACAAGCATGCAGTACACAACATCTTGTGTACAGGAACTCCAGCCTTCAAAGCCACTGCCCACTCTGATGGCTTGTTGTAGCACCGGGTAGAAGCTGTTGGACAAGCCTTGTCCAACGATGCGTATGAGTTTGTCCATCAGGTCTGTAATCATGGAGCAGCCTTTGTCCAGATCCAGAACTGGCAACTCTATGTCCACCTCTGAAAGGCTTCCAAGGTTCCTCTTGATGCTGTGGCGGTCGTCATCTTCGTTTGCATCGCTTTTGTCGTCTCCGTTTCCGGCAGCATTGACTTCCTCCACTTCCTCATCATTTACGTCTTCCTTTGCATCATCATAGCCTTCTTTTGCTTCACTTCCAAGGCTGTTTTCTGCCTTTGCATCAACGTTGCTTCCTTCTTCCTTTCCATCCTTATTCTCCTCTTCCACATTTGCATTGTTGCTTTCTACGTCTTCCTTTGCCGCTACATTGTGTCCTTCTTCTTCCTCCACCGAGTTGCTGCTGGACCTCTCCTTGCAGCCACTGTTGTCTGGATCACATCTAATTTTCTTGTGTCCAAAGTGCAGTGCCAAGAGAAGGAGGAGGATTCCAGTCAGAGCCAAGAACTGCCACACTAGCGGAGCTCCCCAGGCCCCACGGCTCTGCTCCAGCTTCATCTGCTCCATCTCCAGAGTGAGCTGAGTCATCTGCTGCTTCAGATAATCGGCACGCTGCTGCATGCGCTCCAGTGCAGCCTCATCCAGCCCATCGCCGGCCTGCTGAGGGTACTGGAGGAGGGCTTGCGCAAGCAAGAAAAGGAGCTGAATGGCCAGCATGGCCTTAAGGAGGTGAGCAGGGGTTGAGTGGGGACGGGAGGGAGGTGCTGATAAGGGAAGTGGGGATCCCTAGGGAGCCCCAGGGATCTGATGGCTGGAAAGCGGGGCCCAGGCAGCTGGCAGGCTGCAAGGCCTGTGCCACTGCCCCAGCCGCGGCACCGTGCCCTGCCAAAGACACTCCCGTGAGGGACACGCCTCGGATGCACAGTGAGAAGCGGCTGCCCGGGGTACTTGCGTTTCTGCTGTGCGCCTCGTTCGGCGTTCAGCACAGCCTCCTGCGTGCGTGCACACTCGCCGCTCGCCGAGACTGTACTGGGGCAGCGCTCCCTGCTGCTTGGGTTGATAGCTGCTCCCATTGTGACACCGGCGCTGTGATGTCACAGGTGCCACAGGGCATCCCAGCCAGGCCAGCCCTGCCCTCCATCTCGACCTCAGCTCTGGGACTCCTAATGGCCCTGGGCGACCAAATGTGGGAAGCGCAGTTGCCCGGGTGGTGAGGGGGACCCTTCCCCCCCGCCCAGGGGTTCCCTTGACAAAACAGTCAGATGCCCTCCCCCCAACCCTTTTCAATCTGAAACTGGGTGACATGACCCAGGAATGCTTTGTTCCTGAAAATCTCCTACTGTAAGATGAAACTTGGTGCTGACCTGTGTATTTGGGGGGGGGGGTGCTCTTGGGACCTAAGTGGCACCCCTGAGTGTGTAGTGCTGAATATCCTAGTGGTGACATGGGGCTTCCAGCATAGTGCTGAACATGCTGGTGGTGACATTCCTGCTATGCTGCTATGAGAGGACCTTGACTCCATGGAGATATTTCCCAGGGGTGATGGGCAGGTGTGGGGGGTGATTTCCAGTGGGCAATTCCTGCTGCTGACAGAACAAGTGTTCTGCATGTCCCACAAGTTCATTTCTGCTGTGCCAAAGCCCCTGCTGGTGATGGGAGTTCCCCACTGGAAATCAGGTCCCTCCATGTGCACCTAGTTCATTTCTGCTGTGCCAAAGCCCCTGCTGGTGATGGGAGTTCCCCACTGGAAATCAGGTCCCTCCATGTGCACCTAGTTCATTTCTGCTGTGCCAAACCCCAGAGAGGGTCTGGGATGAGCAGGATCTGCACTGTCCTCAGACAACACAAGGAGGCACAGCAGCGGTGCCTCTTGCTTGGTCCCTGCCCAGCCAGAGCTGCCAGGGAGTTTCAGAGCCCATGTGAAGTGGCCAGCAAGGCCTGAGAGTGCAGCGGGCACATAGGATGAAAATAATCTTGGTAGCCACCGTCATCTTCAGTGGCTGAGTGGCTGCTGCACCAGGGAGATCATTAAGAGGACCAATCTTGCTGCCCACAAATTTTCCATTCCTTGCTGAGTCCCACATCTTCCCCTCTTTTTTTTTGTACTACCTGGTCAGGTGAATGTCATCAAATTCCAGTAGTGTCTGCAAAGTGTATCTATATCCACAGCGGTCTAAAACTCGAGTACTACCTAATTTAGCAGGCATTTTCTGTTCAGTTCATTTCCTGCTTCCTGACCACTTTGACTTGGATATTCAGGGACAATATGGCTTTTACTTACCATGTCTTCGTTGCCCACATGATGTCTCATGTTTCTAAGTTGCCTTACCACAGTATCTTTAGATCCTGCATTGTAGAGTAGGAATGAATGATAAAGTTGGGGGTTTAGCAAGTTTCATATCCTGTCAGTGCTATCATGTTTTTGAGCTCCTGCTTCACAGCAAACTAACTTGGAGATATTTCCTGCATGCCAAACAGGTGCTGTGGCATCTGTCATTAAAGAATCTCCAACTGCTAACTTTTGAGGTGTTTTCCTGGTGACACTGAGTCTAAGATGGGGTGGGGTCTGATGTGGCTCAGCTTTAAGTACTTGGCTTTTCCTGGATCTGGTCACTTTCTCAGGTCCTCTGAATTCCCCAATCCCAGATTACAAAGTCACTGTTGGTTCACTTCTTCTAAGTGCTGCTGACATCCTGACAACTCCATGTCTTGAGGCACCAGCAGAGCCCTAAGAGCAGGACATGGAATAGAATAAAAGCTCATTGCTGTTGCTGCTGCAAGACATTCCTATGCGTGGATCCCCAGGCCACGCAGATCTTGTCCAGGATTGTCTGCTCCATGTGCTGTACAGGACCATTCATCTGTTGTGCACAGCAGTAAGGGGTGACAGATTTCCCAAACTGCCCTAGGGCAGGATCATGGACATTTTAGAGAGCCTTATTTACAGCATCAGAGAAGCCAGAGCCCGCCAGAACATCCTTTCTGCTGCAGCACTCTCTGCCCACAATTCCCAACAAAGTGGTGCACAAACACTCACATACACAGCATTTGTTCTAGCACAATATTCATTGGCAACTTTGTCCTGAGGGAAGCTCCCAGAGGGAGCAACAGCAACTCCCTGAGGGAATGGACTCTCCCAAATATGGAGGGCATTCACTGTCTAGGTGGTAATATGAATCTTGACTTACAGGCTCCTTGCCATGGCCTCTTCACAATTGTTCTTTATAAGTGAGCATTGCAGACAGAACACAGTAGTTTGGGGGGTGAGGGGAATAGGAACTATGAATTTTGTGTTTATGAACTGTATTTCTGTAAGATGTATTTACTGCATTTATTTATTCTGTATTTATGAGCCATAGTTCATACATGAACTGTGTATTCTGAATTCAGAATATGAATTTTGCAAACCTAGCCCCAAATCTGTGTTTAGGAATATTGTTACAATTTCTGGACTGTAAAGAAAATCAATGTGTAAGCTTTTCTAGAGCCAGAATTGAGACACGTGCTATTTTCTTGCCCCATCAGCAGCAGAATTAGCAGTTTTCCTGCAAGCATGATGCACATCTTCCCATTTCTTTTCAGAGAAATGCATCATTACATGCTAAGTTTATGAAAGAAATAACTTACAGGACACGGGTGCTACGGCTGTGGCAAATATGAGAATATGACAGTTGGTTAAAAAACTGAGCACTTCACACAGCAAACAACAGAAGTGTTCAGGGGATTGCTTTTTATCTCAACTTTCCCACATTTATTAAGGTGTCTGATGAACAGAAAGCAAAGGGTGGTGCTGTGCCACCCTCCTATCTGAAGGTCTGTCCAAAGTCCTGACATGATGTACAGGAGTGTCAGAAATGGGAGACCATGTTTTTATATAGAGATGGAGTATTTATTGCAGTGACTTGTGAGGGTTCCTCAGGGTGAGAGATATGGACGAGAATCTTACTTCATGATCAGAAGGCTGGATTTATTAATATATGATATATGATACATTATGACTATACTGAAAGGAATAGAGAGAGAAGTTGCAGAAGCTGCTAAGCTAAGAATAGAATAGGAATCTCAAAACAAGGTTCTGTGTCCAGGCAGAAAGCAGGACAATCTCTCCTGTGAGTGGTCAGTAAATCCAAACACTCACAGAAGACCAATCACAGATGCACCTGTTACATTCCACACCAGCAGATAATAATTGTTTACATTTTTCTTCTGGGGCCTCAGCTTCCCAGAAAGGACAAATCCTAAAAGAAAGGATTTTTATGAAAAAATGTCTGTGACGATGGAGGGTCAGAGCCAACCCCTTGTGATGGGGAGTGGGGGTGGGAGGGCACATGAACAGGGTAACATCTGAGACAGGAGGTGTATCATGGCAATAGAGAATGAATGAGTGAATGAATGAGTGAATGAGTGTTGTCATTCAGACTGAGCTTCAGTTAAGAGACCCAGTTAATTAAGACCAGAACTACCTGCTTTTGAAAAATAAAAGACAGGAAAAAATTTTGGTGAACAGCATTGGATTTGCTTCCCAAAGAAAGACAGAATGAGAAATAGGAATCCAGATGGAACACAAAATTAATTGTGGTCTTTATTTCTGGAGAGTTTTAATTGCAATACACAGCAGCCTACATGCAATGTCCCAGATCTGTGAAAACACAGGTTTAAGTAAAAATGCTAATTTCTTACAAAAGAGACATTGCAATTTTCTTCTTAAGAATGAAATTGTGCAAAGCAGAAGATGCTGATAGCATACATACATAAGTATTTCCGGAATCCGTAGTACCTTTTAAAACTAAGGCAGAAGCACTGAAGGAAGAAGAGACTGAGTAAAGCCTGGGATACTGCAGGGAGTTTTCCTGAAGGAGTGGTATTTACATGTATGGCAACAACCAGATGTCATACCACTTCTCAAATGAATATTTTACTCTCCATTCTTTTTCACTGGCTCTGGATGTTTTTCAGCATTTGCTGTAGAAGTGTTCTCTGCATAAATTTGTGGGATAGAGAATGGGTGGTTTAAGACTACAGAATATTCCCATGGCCTCTATGTCCCTCCCATGGTATTTTTCTCTGTCTAAGGCTGTTTAAAACCTTAATCTACCTTGGACCAAAAATGCTTTCGGTGTGGAGATGCATCTAGATGCTATATTAAAACCAGTTAATTTCCAACTATTTGAAACTCACTGATAAAGTAGGCTGCTGAAATATTGCCAAAATTTTCTTCTTAAACTGCAGTAGCTGAGACTTCAAGATCTGCATAGGATATTTTTAAATGTTGGTCTTATACAGGTTTGAGACACTACTGTGGTGAAAAAACAACTTTAGGATAATCAGGTGAACACTAGGTAGATATCTCCCTAGAGTGAGTTACATTTTAACCATGAAAGGATGGCCTAAGGCAGCAAATGAATGGGTCAGGAAGATGGAAACTGAAATTTTATTAGTCTCTCAATTGTGTTTTCATCTCTCCTGATTTTTTTTGTGGTTATCAATTTTATATTTTTGGAAGCTCCTTCTACAGTTCAGTGATTGTAACTAGCAATGAAGTGTAGAGACACTGAAAACTGTCCTCTTCAGGGTCAGTCACAGAGAAAAATAATTTGTTATTACTGGCAGACTAAGCCTGCAGCCAATGTTGTGTGCAAAAAGTACGTCTGAAGTTGGTCCTAATTTTTCCTAGTATAGTACTTCATGTTGATGTATATGTCATGCATTAAACTGCTGGTCTC